AAAAATAAAAAATGTAATCCGATCCATTAAATATCACGAAAGCACCTCACAAAACTTGCAACACGCCGTAACTCACCTCAGAACGTTAGCACGTCGGAGCAGTATGCATCACGTGATAGAGCGGCTGTGGCATGCTGTCGGTGGTCTGGATAGCATGTGGAGCTTCGCTAGCAACCCGGCATTTCATCTCCGACAAAGTTATCCCCGAGAGAAGTAAAGCAAGTGTGTAAGTCCATCTCTGAATGTTTGTAAAGCATTCCTGCGTTAAGCTTAACGAGCGACTGCCTCTCGCTCTCCGGTTGCTACTTCAATCATGAAACTGCTTAACGATCAGCTGATCGGCTTTTCTGTCGCGAGTCCGTGTCTCTTGTTTGCTTTTGGCCCACTTTGCACCAGAAAGAGGAAACCAGCGGCTGAACAACAGCAGCACGTTTAAGCTTGATCAGCTGTTGTTAGAATTTATTTAATATTACTTTCTACTCCAGGATCTTTTTCTACGTAGCTGACGCTGGTAACTGTGCAGGGGCGGATCTAGCAAAGTTTAGCCAGGGGGGCCGACAGGGCATGAACAGGGAAAAGGGGGCACAAAGACATACTTTTCTTTCTTATTCTCATTTAAAATGTCTAGCTTTTAATAAATAATTATATCTTACACCCAAAGTTTTAATCTGATGTAAAATGTATAGAAGTCCATTACTGTATATAGTAACTATTAAGTCTAATATACCCTAGTAAGCTATAGTACTTTTTCCTTTGGGAAGGTACCATCTGTGCAGTCTGCAATTTTGTTGAAGAAAGATGTTGAATCTATTTAATATTTCTTGAAAAATAATTGATTTCTGTGCATTTTTTTTCACACTGCATCAAATTAAGGTTGATTACGTCGATTAAGCATCATGAGGTGGAGCGTGAGGGGTGGTTCCCTATTTTTTTATTTTTGTTGTTGCTGGGAGTTGGAACCCTATTAGTTAGGTTGCTTAATATTTATGCTAAGTACTCTTTAAAATACCAGAATAGGGAGGATGGTGTAGGTTTAAGTTTATTAGATTGATCAGTATTGCTGAACTATGAAATATTTTTTTTGCATACAGGTATAACAGAATAGCTTTAGTGTAGTTGTTGTTTTAAACTTGAGTATGAACTTATACAAAATGCAGCAAGATATTTAAAAAACAGTTTTGTTGATTAAAAAACACTATATCGGATTCATATCGGTATCGGCAGATATCCAAATTTATGATATCGGTATCGGACATAAAAAAGTGGTATCGTGCCATCTCTACTTTGTACCATCGTTTTGTAGTTAGGACCGCAGCAGCTATTGTCAAAATTCCTCCACAAAGCCCTGCAAGAAGCAGCCACGGCCACACGTCCCGCAACTCGTCGAGGGAAGGGTGCAATGATTCTGCTAGCTTTTGACTAGCATCTAGCAGGTGGGTGTATTCATATCCCAGGTCTTTGCTGGAAATGAAGAAGTCTCTGTTCCTATGCAGAGGTAGGAATGGTGCCATGTGGTATTCACTGCTATGGCCTATAGGAGCATTTGACTCTGGATACTGGGATGGAGATGGTCTGTGCTTCCTGAGCCACTGCTCATAAAGGCTAACAGGGACAAAAACAAATACAGTAGCAGTGTTAAGTTCAAGCATTGAGTGCAAATGTACGGTTTTCTGTGTTTTTTTGTTTTGTTTTGTTTTCATAGAAATGTTTTGTTTTGTTTGTTTTTTTTTGTCCGGTTTGGATCTTTAGCAATCAGAATTGTTGTCTGAAGGCCAAGAAAGATGCCGAGTGGATTTACTTTACCAAGTGGATCATCGTGGCCTTGCCATATTGGTCCATTTGATTGACCTTTATTATAATTATGTATTTATTTTATTTTTGTTTTTTAAAGACGGGACAGGCATGACTGGGGGATAGGACAGGGAGAAAGAATGACACAATAAATAAACAATAAACTAGCTAACAATAGATACTTTTTTAATTTCACCTGCTGAGAATGAAAAAAGAAAACAAGCAGAAGAAAACGAGAGCAATAGAATAAACAACATCACGATGATATATGGGAATATAACTGTAAATACTAAATATTAAACATTACTGTGCAGCACGTAAGATCGACAGCGCACAGTGTGCTTTGAGGTAGGAGCCAAAAAGGGTGTAAAACACCAGTCAGTGTCACGCCGCCGGGTATATCAACTTCTCTTTTAAGCTGTGCTTTCTGCTTCACGCTCCGTGCCCACACATGTAACAAGGGCTGCTACAAGGCCCTTTAAAACAGGAAGTAGCATGTGCTGCAGTGAGCTTGAATGGTGTCCCAATGCGCTGAGCAAGCACAGTGCAAGCATGCTAGCCAGGTGTGGTGCGTGATGATAAAGTGGTGACTAAAACTCTATAAAGGACATAACTAATATAACAGCAGGTCAGGGTTACTCTTACAATTTTCTCTGGTAAGAAGTCAAAATCCTTCATATAGAACTCTGAAGTTACCTGGAGAGATGAGATCCTGCTTCATAGTACAGGCCTCAGGGCAACATTTCAAAGTTAACGTGCAAAACAATCAATATATGTATTTGTATGTAACTGACAAAAAAAGGAGAGAAAAGCGTCCAAACACTTCTTGTGTCATTCCAGAGTTGAGGTCGCAGGTTATGGTGCCACCACTGGACTAGCTAATGAGAAAAGAAGGAAGATGGTTTTTAACAAATTTGTTGTATTAAGAAAAAAGAAAACAAACCATCCAAACTGTTACTTTATTAGTAAAGAGATGTTGCAGATATTTGTACTGAAATTGTATTTTTCTTCATTTCTAATGTGTTCAAAGCAAAAACAAGCTTTTCCTGTGAGCTCAGACCATTTTATTTCTTTCTGCTGCATTTCTGCATAAAATACAAATCTGCATCATTTTTTAAAAAGTGCTTTAAGCTGAACTAATTGTCCCTTTTTTCTAGAACCTGGTGAATCACCCTCTCTTCACTGTGCAGAGACTGAGGTTGTCAGCTGTACAGAGCTCAATGATATTTTACAGAAATAATTCCCCGAGGTCCACCGAGTCAAGAGCTATCAGCACTGGTTCTGTGGACAAAGTCCTGGGAAAGATATATGTCGAGTGAGTTTGCATGATCCCTCAGCTCACAGCTGCATTTATTAAACATTCAAAATACAGAAAGATTTTATAAACCTGGGAAACTGTATTTCTGTGTTGCAGGGAGACTCTGGTGGAGGAGTGGTTCATAATGGCAGGATTTATGGGGTCTCTTCTTTTGTGGGAGATCCAGACTTTGTATGCAGAGCACCGGCTGCCTTCATGGACCTCTGTGATCCTGAGTATGCAGATTGGATCAGGAAAACTATCAACCCCATAAAAAGCTGTGAGGTGTGGATAACTGTAAACAAGCTGAAATAAATAATCTTTTAGAGTTTAGCTTTGGTTTCTTTTATTCTGTTTGATATAAGCAGTAGAGGATTTCAGAATTTCTGTGTTATTTGCCAAAAGAAGTTTTTTCAGCTGCACCCACACAGTTTCTTTAGATAACTTCAACTGCAGAAAGTAAAAACTCAGCATTAAGTTTCAAATGCAGTTTTAAAGATAATGATAATATGGTGTCCCTGAAGAAAACACCCGTCAATAGAAAAAGCTGCAAAATCCTGCAAAATGTAACAGAAGTTGAATAAAACACAACGGAAATAGAAAAAAAATGCAACAAGGCTGAAAAACTGAACAAACAAACAAAAAACAAACACAAATTACAACAGAAATAATAACAACGATATAAAAAATAAAATAAAGTAGAAAAAAAACGTTCTCATCCTAAAACTTGGTGACAAAGTGGAATATGGTAAGGAAACACTCATTTAAGTGCTGTCATTACTCAAAGGTTCCTGATAATCATGCATGAAGTGATTTCTGGAGGGGAATGAAACTTAACTGAACTGCTCCCTGTGACATTTTGACCTGTCAAACGCAGGCGTAACTCCTGTTATTCATTGTTGTATTGCAGGTCTGCTGTGCACGACGTCTGTGAATCTGAGTAATTTGGTACAGATGAAGGAATAAGACTGCTCAGATGCTTTGGGTGTCACGTAATGATCCCTCAGGTTTGGGTGTCTTTGGTGCCCTTTGATTTCAATCTACCTGCACATTGAACAGAAATCCTGCCATGACAGAACACACTAATGCCTTTTCAAGGGAGAACCGATCCTAATCTGAGCTGTCAGCCCCAAGTTCTCTGCAGTCATCAAATCAAGCATAATCTGGTTTGAACAGGCTCCCTGCCTCACTGCAAAAGCCTTTTTACCAGCTGCTGTTTGACAAATTGCAAAACCTCTGAAGAGACTTTAGAAAGGGGGAAAAAGGATACGAAGAAAAAGCTGAACAAAAAGCTATCCATGCACTGTTTAACATTTCACTTGGAGCTTATTGACTGTATTCTATCTGTGGATTGCATTATAGCTTCTCTGAGAGCTTTGCTCCCTGAAGATTTTATGATCTGTGAACGCTGAGTCTCTCTTGTGGCTGTAAACCAGTCTGCTCAGCATGGCACTGCATGGCACAGTTTCTCTCCATTTTTTTGAATCACCTTTGCTCAGTTGTGCTCCTAACTGATCTCCTGAGTTTGGCTGTATTGGCATTGAATTTGTTGGCTTTTTCAAAAGGTACAAATCAAATATTGTTTATAGACCTATCCCTTTTTTATCTACAAAATACAACATTAAGTCTTGAACTGTTCTGTTGTTCTTCTTTTTTTAAAAACATTTTATAGCCTTGCAGTGTTCTAAAAATTAAAAAACACAAATATAAGATTATTATGTAGAATTTTTAATATATAAATACTTAACACTGGAAAATACTAAAACTGTTAACTATAGTACAGAACTTAACAAAATGTCATAAAAAATTATAAATACTGATAAAAAGAATGAATTTTGTTTCCTAAGTTATAAAATACAATCTGTCATATTTTAGCACAAAGTGAACAAAGGAACTTTATATTTTCTTTAAATTATTCGCACTGATATTTTTGAATATGTACAATTTGCTTTCCCTGAATTTTAACAGTAACTTTGATTGCTGCCTCCTCCAGTTCCTTATCAAAGAGACTCCACAGGCCAGTTTGAATGAACAGGCTCTTTCCATCCTCCAGCAACACCTCCAGCTGGTTTGGCATTTCTGCCGTGGCCACACCAATGATGAGGATGTCAGCTCTCTCCTCGACTTTTGTCTGTTGACACAGCATAGGCACACATTTAGCCCAGAAAACGTTGGGTTTTTTTTATCCAACAAGAAAAAAGAAAACCTATGGTCATCACGTGGTTTCACTAAGTCACCAAGACACATACATACACACATTATGTCTTGATGCATGCTGAATCATCCAGGTAAGTCAATTCCAAAATGGTTAATTATGTTCACCTGAAAAAATACCCCCTCGCCCCTGCGGGCGGTCAATCCTTCAAGCTCGGGTCCTCTACCAGAGGCCTGGGAGCTTGTGGGTCCTGCACAGTATCTTAGCTGTTCCCAGGACTGCGCACCACTATGTCCGGTTGGTTAGCCAACCGGACATAGTGGTGCGGGATCTCTGTCCAGAAGAGATCTCTGTCCAGAAGAGCGCAGTCCTAGGAATAGCTAAGATACTGTGCAGGACCCACAAGCTCCCAGGCCTCTGGTAGAGGACCCGAGCTTGAAGGATTGACCGCCCGCAGGGGCGAACTTTTCTATCTATCTATATGTAGTGTGTGTGTGTAAGATAATATAATATATATAATGTTATGTCAAATTTGAAAACATTGTCTTATCAACAAATGTTTAAAACTAACAAAGGTTTAGCTTCTTCATACCTCAATCTGTGTAAAGGCTGTACTGTGAAGATGTACGCCATATGAGGACTGTCTCTGCTTAACGTGAGAGAGGCTGATGTGGTCTCCCACGTTGAAGTTGTTAGCAGCTGCCTCCCTCCAGAGGCAGATTGTCATGGTAAAACCATCCTGAAATCACAAACATGACAGAATTAAAGATTCATTAATTAATTAAATAACAACAAGTCCAGTAACTAGAAAAAAAAAGCTCACAGCCTCATACATTCTGTACCAGCAATGTCAAATTTGTCACATTAGTTTAACCATTTTCAATATAAAACTTAAATTCCACCATTACCTCCTTCAGCTGGAGGTTTTTAAGGGGAACATGTTGTTTTCCCGACAGCACCTTCTTTACAGCAGAACTGAAAAGTAAATTGAAATTTAATGTCAGTAATAGTCAGTGTAGTTATCTGTGATAGGTTTTTATTTCTTCAGTAATCTGTTTAGATTATGTTATGGTTGTTGTTAAGTATTCTGCACATGCCATTTATCTTATCAGAAGCAGTTTTATCTGTATCGGTTATTAGGATGTTTTTCATATACTGTGATTATGAAACAGGTTGTAGGAAATCCTTCTGTAAACAATACATTTTGCAACTTAAATGAAAAGTTTGCCAGTTTCAGGTATACAAAATCTATTTGTTTTCCATTATGCCCAATTCAGGGTACTTTGACCATTTCTGTTGTATCTGCTTTTATTTTTATTATAAAGGATATATTTAGATGAAGACTTGTGTGAATTTATATACAGAAGTGTATAAAATAATTCTGTTTGTTTTTATTATCAAGTAGAGACTGTTCATTAAAATCTAGCCCTTACAACACAAATGTACGTAGGCACAATGCAAACTGGCTGCAAAAATACCAGAAATGGTCTGAGGAAAATATTTTCTAAAAATTGTGCTTAACAATCTTAACAGAATTTAGTCTCTGCTTGACAGCAAAAACCAAAATTTTAACTGTAAAAAATACTGGCAATAATGGGTTATTTGGAAACCTAAATCCATGTAAATTCTGATGGAACCACAAGTACTTACCTCCACCACCTCCCCTTGAACTGTCACGAGTCCCTCATGTGTGGAGCTCATCTTGAGTGGGGTGAGAGGAACAAGAGGATGCAGAAGATCCTCTGCTTCTTTTACAAGACCTTCCCTCACACTTTGAGTCGGTGCCCTAAAAAAAAAAAAAAAAAAAAAAGGAAAAAATTGTGTCCTGGCTGTGATACTGATGTTGTAAGGGGGGCCTGTGCCCCTGAGTTCATGGCCTCTCATAATGTATGACCCCCCCAGCTGGACTTTAGAGGCATGTTCTTCAAACATTGTGATCTTTGTCACAGTCTGGCCATCGGTGATCGCCGCAATGGTGTTCTTCTTTGTCATTAGAGGTGTTGGTGTTCCATCTTTGAAGTCCCAGCTTGTGACCCTTAGCTGGTCACAGGACTTTAAAATTTTCATGTGCAGTGGGGGTGGCCGGGAATATGGCGTGTCAGGGCGGTTGTTCAGAAGCTTTGTCAAAGCCATTCTGAAAAAAAAAAGCAACACAAAAAATATTAAGGGGTTAATACATTTCTGTTATAGCAAGGGTCATATAATATGGTAACACGTGTAGCTTTTGTGCAGTCTTTTTACTTTCTGATGTCAAACAAAACTCATAAATACCTTTCTGAGGTTCCTGCTTAAAAATGACAGGCCAAAAACACAGGCCTGTCTAAAAGTATGTTTTTGATATTATACAATGTTGGTTTTAAAATAAAGCTAACAGTTCTAAGACTTCATTGAATTAATCCAAATATTACAGCAGAGACAAGTTGGTGAAAGTAACTTGGGACTGAACTCAAACTCAATATTTTTCTCACCAAACTGTTATTCATTTATTTTTTGTATTTTCTAGCATATAATCTCCTTTGACAATAAACATGAAATCATGTGAATGTGCAGTAGTAGCAGCAAGCAGGTGAATTCTGTACATTAATATGAATAGACATCTGACTATTTTACAGGATAGACAATATAAACATATTTAATCATCCACAACTATATCATGTGTAATTTTTCATTAGTTTCAGTGTTTGTTTGTATTTTATTCTATTCATGATGGTTGTGTTGACAGATTTGTCCAAATTTAAAGCTATAGATGTGAACTTTTGGTTCCTTTATTATTACCTGTATAAACACTAAGCTGTTTATAAATAATCCATATTTGTGGATTTGTACAGTCCTGAAAGATGCCCATACATCCAGCTACACTCAACATTAGTCCAGCTGAAGATCCTAATTTCATGTAGCAACTTCTTTTCCCTGATCCCGCCTCCACAGACAGATGTGCACAGAGGTTTAACAAGGCACAGGCCTCGATCACTGAAGACAGACCGCATCAAGAGTGTGACCTCCAAAGTGCTTTATTTATTCACTTCAGCCAACCGCTTGTATGTGCCCATTTATTTAAAATCTGTTCTAAGAAATATTTCCTGTGATCTAAAATTTGGCACATTTGTATTTGTGTCTGTTATGTCCCCCCGAAGGGGTCTAGGCATGCGAGTGAGGGGACCAGCAACAAATGAGTCCAGAACAGAATGTAAGGAGAACAGACAGGTGTTTTTAGTAAATAAAAAAGTCTTTATTATAGATAATCTTAACATAAAGAGCCGGTTTACCAATAACACTTGGAAAAAGGAAAAAATGTTGCCACAACAAAGAACACAACAGCCAAACAAAAACTCCACACCACGAGGACGCACTTCCAGGGGCCCACAAGCTCACCCTATCATTAGCAGCAGCTCGCTTCACTGCTGCTGAGGCCCACACTACTCACGTGAAGCAGCTATACTGCACACTGCTTCCACACTACAGGCAGGACATTCACACAACTAGCACTCAAAGCGGCGACACCAGAGAAAACCACCCTGCTCACAGCTCATCCCCAGCTTAAATAGCCTCAGAGGTGATTGTTGACTGGATTCAGGTTGCAAACGAGGCTAACCAAGAGCAGCTGTGTCCTGGGGAGAGAGGAGAGTGAGAGAAACAGAGGGGTGGAGCAAGAGAGGAAGAGGCGGAGAGAAAAACCACACCCACACAAGGACAGTTTCAGGAGGCCCAGCTAGGGCCGTAACA